CCTTACGAAATGCTGAGATGCTCAGCAATCTTAAAACACATGTTTGTGAAAATACACGAAAAACTAGTAAAGAAAGCTTATACTCGCTTTGCTGATATCTTTGAAATTGTCTACTTGATGATGGTCCGAAAAAATTCAGTTTTTATAAAAATGATTTTTTTTTGCAAAAATTTTCTACGAGCCGATCCGAGCCGTTTAAGAAGCGTATTCACTCTTGGGAACTACTTTTATATTGGTTTTTGACGTTTCTAAATCGATTGAGACAGGCTCAATTGACGATTTGTAGGTCAAAATACAAAATCGGCGGGTTGGATCAACTTACAAAGTGGGTCAACTTACACATACTCCCCCGATTTATAAATATTATCAGTACCGATGGCTATTTATATTAGTTTTAGCTCTTTTCACAGCATTTGCTATATGAATGAGAATATTAGAATATTATTGACATAACTTGTTCTATACCAAATATTTTGCAAGTTCAATTCATATGACATGCTCAGTAAGTAATTTACTTCGAATCACGGCGATTTTAAATGAATATTCTGAAACGTCTATTTTATCATAAATTCATTATGATTTTGGCGGACCTGTTGTTTTTAGAGGAAAATAAGTTGGAATTGTCAATTATGGCGCTATGTTAGATTCATTTTCTGTTATTGAATTGAATTGAATTTTATTTCATCGCCAAAAAACTGGCTGAATATGATTTAAATTTTTACAATAAAAATACATCAGTTGTTTGTATTTACATTTTCTCTTTGGGTTGACAAGAATTTTTCAATATTCGACTTAAATGAGTCTCTAGTTCCAGCAGTATTTACAAGTGTTATGAAATTGTTTATGCAACGAATCATACGAGCAATCGGTTGTTGACGTAAATAATCGGTATCAAAAAAGAGGTTCACTAAGTGTTCTTTTATTTCTTAATGTACGACGTTGTTCAAGCCTCACAAATTTCGAACTAATAAATTCGTCATTGATATTACATTTATATACATCATAAGCAATAATTGCATCAGCAATTTCTCTTCTTAAGTCTAATGGTTGCATTTTAAGTTGCTTACACCTATCAAAGTATGGAGTTAGTCTAAATGAAGTAGCATTTCTTATATTTTCTAGCAAATAAATAACAAATTGCTTCTGTATCGATTCGATATCTCCAATATAAATATCCTGATATGGGCTCCATATAACTGAAGCAAATTCTAAAATAGGCCTAACATGAGCCAAATACAATATTTTTTGTGTGTCATATGTAAAGTTTCCGTTTGAAAAATGCTTGATACAGCCAATCATGCGTCTCGCTTGTATGGTTTTCTGTTCGATGTGATGGCCGAAGTGTAGCTGCTTATCGATCAGAACGCCGAGATCGCGAATCTCTTCCTTCCTCTCAATTAAGTAATCTCCCATAGTGTAGTTAACGACGATAGATGATTTTTTTCCGACATAACGTAAGCATTGCACATTTTTGATTGGTGAAGAACAGTCGATTATTATTGCACCAGTCGATGAGTTTATCGATGTCATTTTGAAGGTGATTCGAGTTGTTATTTGCGGTTGTGCCACGAATTTCCATCGCAATCTTGATATCGTCTGCTAATAGCAGCACCGTAGATTTTTCAACACTAACAACTATGTCGTTTATGAACATGGTGAACAAAATTGGGCCAAGCACACTTCCAGCAGGCACACCAGAAGGCGACGAGTATGATCTGGATTTGGATTGGCCAATCTTAACAAAATTGAATCGATCGATGACAAAGTCACATAGCCATTTGGCAGTTTTACGTCCAATTTTGAAGTGAGCAATTTTTTCGATGAGTCTACGATGCCAGACTCGGTCGAACGCAGTTTTGAAATCTCCGTAAAAAACATCAAGCTGCATTTTCTTGCGAAATGACTCGTGTGCCAATATCGACAGGTTCAGTAGATTCGTAGTGACAGAACGCTTAGTTCTGAATCCATGTTGTGAATTAGATAATTGTAGGTCGATGATGGCGCTTAGCTGGTGTTTAATTGCTATTTCGAAGATTTTCAATATGACTGAACTGATTGCTATGACCCGATAGTTTGTAACATCATCTTTGTCGCCTTTTTTGAAGACAGGCACAACTCGTGACAGTTTGAGCAAGTACGGTATAGTACCAGCATCAAATGTTTTCTGGAACAAAAGCCAAATCGGCCATACAATGGCGTCAACACATTGTTTTATGACTAACGGTGATATATCATCAGGTCCAGCTCCACTATGCCATTTTAACGAGTTAATGGCTAGTTCGATGCTTTCCAATGACACGTTGATTTCATTTGCATCATCACTCTCACGAAAAATGTCTTCGAAATTCCACGATTGATCATCAGCTACGTAAATTGACTCGAAGTAGTTTGCGAACAACTGGACAATGTCGTCTGGTGAATCAGCGGTGACATTATTGTGGTGCATCTGATTTGGATAAGTTGCTTGTTTGTTGCCAATTTTCGCAAACTTCCAAAACGCTGCTGGATTCGATTTGATGTTGTTTTGAATGCCCATGATGTACTCATTGTGTAGCCTATCGTTCAACACGTTGAATTCGTGACACGCTTTGACATATTCATCTGTTTGGACTCCAGATGGCTTTCGTTTAAATGACTTATCACGTTGATTTTTCTTGTGTTGAAGCTCACAACTCCACCATTTCGGCTTGTTCGGGTAATTGGTGACTGATACCTTTGGTACATTGTTCTCAGTGAGTGTTGAAATAGTTCGATGAAAGAAATCAAACGCAGAATGAACATCGCGTATGCCAAACTCATGTTGAAAATTAATACTCTCGATTTGTTGACAAAGTCGTTGATAATTTCCACGTGAGTATTTGAAAACCAATTTAGGTTCTGAGCGAAGCGTTGAACTTATTTTCGAATATTCGAATTCGATTTCATATGGCTTATGAAATACGTCTTGTTGGTTCGCATCGACAAGTGTGTGCTGGTCAACGCTCAATTTGACATCACTCGAATTATTTACAAATAGCAAATCCAAGATCACGGCGATTTTAAATGAATATTCTGAAACGTCTATTTTATCATAAATTCATTATGATTTTGGCGGACCTGTTGTTTTTAGAGGAAAATAAGTTGGAATCGTCAATTATGGCGCTATGTTAGATTCATTTTCTGTTATTTGACTGGATCATTTGGAATGTGCAAGGCAGATAATTCATTCACATTGTCCGCATATGCATCAAAATGATTTCATAAAATTCACAACTTTTCGATAACAAATGTGAACCCTTTGCAAATATGTAAATGGATAATGTATTAAATAATATAGATGGATAGTCAAATCTTTGAAGATGTGCCGAAATGTCTTCGGGCAGGGCGATTTCAATTGTAGATTTTGTTTAGTTTAATGTAGTGTTTTTCCTTTTTTTATGTAGAAACAATTTTTTTGAGTAATTGGCTGTCGAAAAACTGCTCCAAAATGGAAAAACTCAAATCTTGGTAAACGTAAGTATTTTCCACAAATCAATTTTTTCTCTCGAATGGATGAAGAATGGATCCATAAAATTGTAGATAAAATGTAGAATTCAAAGTGCCCAGAATTAATTGTAGTGGTTTTAAAAATAATAGTAGAAGCGTCTACGGTTATGTCAGAATAAGAAGTTTCATTATTCTTTCAAATTCAAATCTACAATTGAAATCGCTCTACCCGAAGTCATTTCGGCACATCTTCCAAGATTTGACTATCCATCTAATAATATGCATTCAAATGAAATTCTAACGCCTATCTCAATGTGTAATTGATTTCAATGGAAAATGTGTCAAACGTAGAACATAAAAAAAATAATAGCATTTCAAAATAACAAACTTTATCAAATGAAACAAACAAAAATCATTTATTGAACATTTGCCTGTGTCAAATTGATTGTTGCAAATTATTTTTGCAGCGTTTGTTAGGACAATAATGGAAAATTTCAATTCTATATATAGTCTAATTAAAGTTGAGGGAAATCAGTATTGATCTATGTTAAATTTAGTATTCAAATATGAAGCTATTCGTTTCCAATTGTTTGGCCTCGCTCTTTATTTGTAAGTGTAGAAAAAACATATCTCTTCTTTATCGTCTTTTTACTTCAAAATTGATTTACTTCAAAATTGATGCCATTTTTTGAAGGTATGGCTGCATTCGAAGCCGTAAACTGTCATCCGGATACAACACATTTGCCACCAACGAGTGAACGACCACCATTCCAGGATTGCGGAATATGCCCAACAATTGTTCAGAACATAAGGAATGCGGTTAAGAAAAACCCAACTGCAGTGAGTGTTTTATTTGTAAGAAATCAATTCGGACGAACGGCTAATTACTTTCGATTGAATTTCTCGATAGGAACGCGTTCAACTTGTATTCAACGCCAACTGTTACCCTTCCAACCGAGTAATAGATCCAAAAGCAATAATAACTGGACATAAGTGCGAGAAATATAGACCACACATGGAACAATGTGCACCGCTAATTGCCAATTTTAATATTGCTGCTAATCATATTTGCGAAATATTTGATGAATGCATGATGGTATACCCATAAACGTTCCAATATGGAATTAAAAAAAAGTAGTAACCAATGATACTTGTACGCGAGTTAATTAACATCTAGTGATAAACGACCGGAAAATTTCACTACTTTCCTTCTACATTTGTCACTAAACGAAATTTCGTTGTGTGTAAATAAAAAAAAAGAAAACGCAATTTGTGTTTTTTATTTTCAATTTTGAATAATTTAAAATGGCTCCACATAATATGCATTCAAATGAAATTCTAACTCCTACCTTTATGTGTAATCGATTTCAATAAAAAAACATACCATCTGCACTCCAGAATGAAGTATAATACTTTGTAAGTGTATTCGAGATTAAACGGAAATAATTTTTTTTTAAATGAAAATTAGCACATGGGAATGGCTCTAGAATAAGATTATGAACATGAATGCAATGTGGCTATAATTAAACATAAACAGAATTCAATTTAACCGAGTTAAACATTATATCTAGATATTTCTTATCAATCGAGAGAGGAGTATAGCTGAACGTAGTATGTAAAAATGTAAAACTGACTAACCGCATTAAAAGTAAATCTCTCAGTCTCTGTCTCTGTCTCGAATCGTGATAATTTTTTGGTTAACCGCTTATTTTGTCAGCATATGCAATAACATCATTCTCATATATTTTCCATTGCGTAAAGTTTTATCGAAATTTATTGGTTAAGAATTTCAAAAATAAATGCGGATGTTTTCAGTTGGAGCAAATTAGTTTGGGATTTGACTTGAACGAGAGTGGTTGTTTACTTTGTACAGACATAATTTCAAAAATAGAAAATCTATAAAAATTTGCATTTAAAATAAAACCAAAGTTCGAATAAAATGTATTCAAGTCCGTTGCGCGTGATTTCGAGCAATGTTCATTATTATGAACGTCATTCGTTCTTCTGTTCGATTTGTAAACAACGGTTTTTAACGGAGAAAAATTTCAATCGTCACATTAGTAGCCGCAAGCATATTAGACAAATGCAAATTTTCCGGGTGACTGCATACCGAGTGATTGCACAACCACATAGAAGTGCTACCAAATTGGATTTATTGCCAAACGAAGTGATTCAAGAGCTCATCAGTGATTTGACCAATCAAGTCGATCAGAAGGAGAACTTCTTCAATGACATTCAGTTGGTAGAGGATAATCCACTGATGCCAGCAATGGATTTGATCCAAGCCAATCCAGCTCCCGTTCAACGTGTCGAACCAATTCCTGTTCCGAAATCACCGTATATCATGGAAACTACTCCGCTATTTGATCGACCGAAACTGATTGACTTTGAAGGAATTCCTGCAACTTACACGAACTTACCCTGTTTGACGTGCTTCCAATCTCTTGACTCACAACAAGACTTCAACGAACATATGCTCAAATCACATTTCAAGATGTCAATTGGCAGCTGATTTCAAAATCGATTTTTATTTCGACCAACAGTACCTATTTAAGCGTGAGAACAACAAGTGAAGCCAATTAATGGAGAACAAATGAGACGTTTCTAGCAAAATGAACAGACGTTTCGGTCTCATACACAAATGGAGCGCTTGGTTTTGTTTACATATTTTTTTATATACAATTGATAAGACGATAAGAGCCGTTTAGAATATAAAAAAACCGCAGTAGAATCACAATGAATAATTTAGAAAGAATAGCAAATAGCTCAACGTATTCTAGGGTTAAGTTGTTTATTTAATAAAAAAAAAATAAGAGTTTACATTATGGAATGCATTCAATTTGATTGATTTTGTATTTATGTCGATTGGATCTCGTATAAATCAATGATGTATCGAATGCGGTTTGATTCAACCACTTACATTTTATCTTATTGTCGGTCAAATAAACGATTGAAAGACGTGGAAAATAAACCCTTAAATCGCTAATATTTTCGAATTGTGTGAACTCATTTGCGTTTAAATTCAGCATTTCAATATTTTGCACACACTTTAAGCTATCAAAAATGTGTGCGTTTTTCAATTTATTTCTGGCGAGGTTTAAGTTTTTCATTCGATGATTTGTTTTATCCATGCAATTAATGGATTGTTTTTCGAACTGTCCCAGTTGATTGTCGTCGATGTTGAGGATTTCGATGGGTGCTGATTGCACGACCGAAATCAAATTGATAACTTTGATTCTGTTGTGAGCAAATGAGACAATTTTCAACCGTTCAGCTCCATTAAATATCGACTCCGATATGATTTCCAGATGATTTTCGGCCAAAATCAACTCCTCCAAGCTCTTCAATGCAAAGCATCCATCTGCGATTATTGCAATTGAATTATTTCTCAAGCTAATGCGCGCCAATGATTTGGCTCCATCGAAAGTATGCGGTTTCAAAGCACCCAACCGGTTGTTATCGATTCGAATGGAAACTAAGCGATCAAGTCCACTGAAAGCTTCATATTCGATGGAGTGAATAGAATTGGATGACAAGTCAATTTGTTCTAGACTGGGCGCTCCATCGAATGATGACTTCGTAACGTTTCGTATGAAATTATTCCGAAAATTTGCCCAAAGCAGTGACGGTGATGCGGCTCCCATGGATGGCACATTATCCAAACTGTTTGAAATGAACAATTGCTCCAAGTTTGGAAAATAGTCAAAGATTGAATCTATTGATGCAATGTACGAATGGAGTTCCGGCCGTATTTCCAAAATCACCCCAACCGGCTGCAGATAATGATTCAAATTGATGATGTGAAATGTGTTCTCTATCGGTAAGTTGATTGATGGCGGTGATATTGAACAATAACTTGTCACTTCTTTATTGCACTCAACCGTTATTGATTTGCATGTCATCTGCCGAATAATGGCCAGAAACACAAACACAAGCGATTTATTATTGGAGTTGACACTAAAAGAATAAGAATAAGAATAAAAACAAACAAAACCGATAATTTAACTGAAGAGAATTGATTTGAGTTTTTATTTTATGAATTGATTTGCTACCTCACAAACATATTGACTCTTTGCATAAGAACACTCGTCTAAATCAACAATACGATGTAAAATCTATGTGAAGTCATCCTATGATTGTTACATCAGTGAATTCAAGGCCGAAAATGATGATAATATGTTAGAAATGACATTCAAACGTAATCGACGGATATAATGAACGAACTCACATTTTTATAAAGATTGTAAAATTCATTTCCTGCAAATCATTTCTAACATCACTCACGAATAGTAGAAGGGTACTTCGCCAGATAGTCTAGGAGTAATGTGCTGATTTTCAGCATTTTGTAGCAAAATCATGTACCCATCATTTTTTTCTTTTCATTTTAAGTTAAAGTTTTTTTTAAGCAATACATTTTATTTTGAATTATAGAAGTAAGACATTATTGGGAGCGTATATAGAGACCCCTTTCCTACATTCATCTCTGACTAATGTACAGTAGTATGCCCTACAAATGATAACAAACATCCGTTGCGGGTGGACGGTCCACTTAAAACGAGAGACTATTTCAAGGCAGAAAAAAAAATCATTTTTGCATTGTGACACACATTTCGATCTTGATCTTACAAACATCGCAATATCTGTGATAGCTGATTGGTTTAAGGCCACAGAAATAAGAAAAAAAATCTCGTTTATTTTCCTTCGGAACAGAGAGCGCATATTTGCTGCTGTGCAGGCCTGAGCTGAACTGAATTTGTTGACTCAGGCGCCCAGTAAGATTTCATTTCTAGCTAAGATACATCTTAATATAATTGATAAACACGGTGAATCTCAGATAGCAATGACATTTTACCATCGTAAGTGCGGTAAAATACCGCTTCAGGCGCCTGACTAAGCAAATTCAGCTCAGCTTAGCTTGCCTGCTCAGCAGCAAATATGCACTCTTTGCTTTGCAACTAGATGTTTATTGTTTTGTTCCTTTTTTGGAAGCTCTTTGGCGAAATATTCCACCAATGTGGAAATACTGAACGAAAAAGAAAAATGTAAGAAAAGAATGAAAAATTGTGACATTAGAAAACTTAATTAAAATAAAAATGGTGAAATGTGTACGTTTTCAATTAATAGACCGTGTCAAATCAATTGCTCGTATTGATTTTCGAATGAAAAATGTAAATATACCGATGGTCGGTTGCGTTGCCAGACGAACTGTTATTATCAAATGAATTTTGTTGTTCAGCATCACGTTCAACGTTTCGAATTTAGTGGAAATATGAAACTAGTAATTTCCATTGTTTGTGCTTTGTTGTTCATTGGTGCGTGTGTGTATCAAAGACAAAAAATGATCCATTCAATATTCTCTTAAAAACTCTATTCGTTGTAGGTGTATCAGCGAAACAGAATGAACAACAGCCTTTCGCAAGAGATTGCGGTAATAATATGATAGAGTGAAAATATTACTAATATTATTAAGATAAGTCACTTTTTTTTTGTCATTGGCCTACAACAGGTATATGTCCTAAAATTATCCGACATATCAGGAGAGTCATTGGTGATAATATAACCCCGGTTTGTATTCAATTTATGAGCATTCACATTTCAAGCGCTCAAACCATTTTATTTGTTTCGATGTCAACAGGAAAAGGTCCTAGAAGTATTCTATTTCATTTGCGGTAACGTTGTAACACCTCCTCCTTATACGCAAAGTTTGACCGATTTAAAGGTTATCGATGATATCAGATGTATAAAATATAATTTGTATATAAAGAAAGCCGCACCTGAGATAGCCAATCTGCGAGTTCCAGAAACTCATTGTTGCGAACAGCTAAAAGAATGCATAGACATGGGCATGGTCATGGGAAATGGCTAAGAAATAACGATGCTAATTAAAGTTGCTATTATGAAATTCATGAAAAATTGTGATTTTTCTTATGTTATTATATCTTTTCGTTCAAATGACTGTGAAATAAATCAATTTTCATCGAATACCAAATGGCTGTTTATGCGTGATTGCAAATCAGTGATTCATAACTGATAAGAAATTATTCTACTATTTTGTTTTATTCTTTCCTCTAGTAGACAAAAAAAATGTCCGAGAAAATAACAAAGAAATTTGAAGATAACCCAATCGGCGTAAGTATTTCATACCAAATGCTAATTTATTTTAAAATCTGTCCGATAGGAACGGAATGAGGAAAATACTCAAATAAATTTGCGATAACAATAATGCCCGTTCCAAGTACTTCGGCTTTCATGAAACTTAGCTCTAGCCAAAACTGCTGACTGGTCTGAAAAAATTGGCAATACATCGTCGTCAAATGAACTTTCAACGCTGATCTTTGAGTACGATCGATTTCAATGGAAAATGTGTCAAACTTGGAATATAAACAAAATAATAGCATTTCAAAATAACAAACTTTATCAAATAAAACCAACTAAAGCCATTTGCCTGTGTCAAATTGATTGTTGCAAATTATTTTTGCAGAGTTTGTTAGGACAATAATGGAAAATTTCAATTCTATATAAAGTCTAATTAAATTTGAGAGAAATCAGTATTGATCTATGTTAAATTTAGTATTCAAATATGAAGCT